TTCAAAACTAAACCAAAACCAAAATAAATCCAAAAGTACACACCTTTAGGGAAACAATTTAACCTTCAATTCAACCGATTTTAACCAATTTCACTATGAATTTTTCTACGAAATTTACACTAAATTTACTAAATTCAATTCCTAAGTAATATTGCTTTAAATCTATTCATTAATTCCTTGTTTAACTAAATTTTACTATTCCACGACCCCCTAAACGTCAAACAACATAAACTGACATGTGCTGCCATCTAGACGTTAACTGACGTTATCCAGGAGCGTACTGTTCATATGTTTTGACAGAGGCGTATTAAAACCACATTGGCATTTTTTTATATACAAATATTATTAACATCATTTCTTTAATAAGAAAAAAATATGTTTAAAATATTTAAAAATACTTTTATCTTTTTATAATTATTAGGGTAGTGAAAGTTTTAGTTGGTTACCTTTAATAATTTAGAATTATTTTTAAATACTAAATTCTTTTCATACATGTAACTGTTAAATTATTTCTTACTGCAGTAAGAAATAATTTAACAGTTTGGTCACAGAAGTTCTGTGACAGAACATACGTTTGGTTTTGAGGGCCTCAAATTGAGGCCCGTATAGGCAGTGAGCTTTGTTCTTACCATGTTCTTTGGTTCTTACTGTGCTGAATCACAGTCTGTGCGTGATATTCAGCACACACAACCTTTATGATCTGTGATTCACAGATCATAAAGGTTGTCTGTGCTGAATATCACGCATAAAGTTGGTTAAACTGACATGGTTGGCAGCGTTTTCGAGTTTTTTACAACTCGAAAAGTGCTTGTAAAAAAATGTAATTTTTACACCTAAAATAACTCCCCCTATGGCGGCGTATGGCTTTAGTGGGCTATTTTCAGGACTCCCTGGATTGTAGCTACACCTATGTATGTATGTGCTGTTTACATTGACAAAATATTTATTACAAAATAAATGTTTTTGATATTAATAGTATATTATTAAACGAGAGATAATGCGCATAATCTCGAGTGAAATACTATACTTTATCTATTCCAATAAGTAGCTATAGCTAACCTTATATAATTGAATAATTTTCAAAAATAAATAAATGAATTCTGACAATTCTGTAAAATAAAACCTCACTTTTTACCAAATTTTAATAGTATATTATTATACGAGACATAATGCAGGCTAATATTCACGACTCGAATAACGAATAACGATCGAGGATAAGGTTTACGTCTCGAGTCGCTAGACGAGAGACCTTAATCATTCGAGTGAATATTGCGCATAATCTCGAGTGAAATACTATACTTTATCTACTCCAATAAGTAGATAATTAAATGATTTTCAAAATTAAATAAATAAAATCTGACATACATATGTCAAATCATATACCTATAACCTAGTTATAGGTATATGTGTCAAATGGTTAACCTTACTTTTTACCAATTTTAAATGTTATTATAGTCGCCTTCTTCCAATTTAAAACTCGATTGGTTCGAACCACAGTGAATACTGAAATCGGCCAATCACTGCAGTGATTGGCCGATTTCATGATGCCTAACAACGTGAATACTGAGTTTATTATTCACGTTGTTAGGCAGGAAATTTATAATGCTTAACAATATTCACGGAAAAACACCAAAATTATGCAATAGGAGTAGATAATAGTATATTTTGTATCAAGTTTTATAAACGCCATTTTAGTTACGAGTTTAATTAAGCACGAGCGAAGCTTGCGAGCGAGTGTTTAATAAAAACGAGTGTCTAGAGAAGTTTATAAACTAGTTGCATACTATACTTTATCTACGACGAACACAAAACAAAATTTTGACATATCGTGACCTTGGAATGACAAGGTTCTAAGTGCAGCTGCCCCGTTAAGCAAAAATGCCTTACCTGCAATAATTAATATTCTAGATAAGTCATTTTTGCTTAACGGCGCAACTGCACTTAGAACCTTGTCATTCCAAGGTCACGATATGTCAACTGTCCCGAATTTAACCTCACTTTTTCCCAATTTATAATAACTAGAGGTGGAAAGTTTGATTCCGATTCGTTCAAAAAGAACGAATCATTTAAATGAACCGAATGAATCGAACAAAGTTTGTAAAAGAATCAATTCTTTTTTGAAACATTTTTTTTAAATCACGACTAGTGAACTAAAAAGTGAATCAAACCTTAAAATAAATATAAACTTGGTTACAAGCACTGAATTAAATGCTAGGTTCGGATCACTAGGCTAAAATGTCGGTCTTTTTGAATAACTAGTGATATTTCTAGGGATATTTCAGGTAATTTTTTGTCAAATATCAAAATACTCTTTTGATTCAAAAGTTTCCAATACAACCTATAGGTACTTGTATTTTGTTTTTTTATGTAAGCTGTGCTGTTGTTGCACCGGAAAAGCCATATTCATTCATTTAACGATACAACCAATACAAGTCATTATTACAAACGATTCAAGAACCAAGTCATTAATTCGGTCAAACCTGAATTGTTCGTTAATTATTTGTTCCTGAACCAGAAAGTGAATCAGTCGCGAACGAATCTTTATGAACGAATCATTTTAAAAGAATGAATTAAAAGAATTGATTCACCAAAAAGAATCGAACTTCCCACCTCTAATAATAACGCTAACTTCAGCCCGTGACGTAAAATGTCGAAAAGCCACTGTTGTTAACTTCAGCCCGTCAATAAAACGCCATAAAGTCACAGCTCGTCAATGTAGGAGTAGATAAATGTTATTATAGCCGCCTTTTCCCAATTTAAAACCCGATTGGTTCAAATCCCAGTGAATATTGAAATCGGTCAATCACTGATGCGTAAAAACGTGAATATATTCAATATATTGAGTTCGTTATTCCCGTTGTTAGGCAGGGAATTTATGTTTATCAATATTCACGAAAAAAAAACAATATTATACAATGGTAGATAAAAAATAACATTTTGTTCCTATAGGTATACCCACAATCCACACAATGTGTAGATTGTGGGTATACCGAGCATTTGGACAGTCAAATCTCTGAGTCAAATGGACATCAGGCCCTGATGTCCATTTGACCCTGATGATCAGGGACAGGTATACAATATTGTATAGTAAAATTGCGACAAAATGTTCGTATTGCGCATGCGATTTTGGTATTGCGCGTTCGACTGTCGAATTTCGACAGTACCATGGTCTTATATACAGGTCTTGCAACTTCGCCCAATTTCAATAGGAAAAGTGACCTCTCTAATGAGACACCCACCAGATGGCGCATCGAGTTGAGGGTGAACCATAGATGTTTAAAGGTCGTTTTAACCTTCTTTATCTTTGGGTTTTACAATCGTTAGATAAGCTCTCTGGTGGATAATTTTCTTAGATAGAAGGTTTCTATGAAAATTATCCGCCAAATAAGCTAACTTAATCTAACGATTGTAAAACCGGCTCTAAGTCCTTAAAGTCTATGGGATAAAGGTCAAATGAACTACCTACTTATGTTCTGTGAAGAAACATAACCTACATTTTTATAAACAAGCTTGTGTATTTTGTTACAGGGAGTTTTTACTTATTGTTATTGTGATATTCGTTATTGTTATATTATATTGTTCTATTTTTTCTTGTTATATTTGTTCTTGTTATACATTTGTATTTGTGCTTTTTAATAGACATGAAGTCCTGTGTTGTGCCAAAATGTAACCAGCAAAGCTATCGTTCCGGCATTAAAATTAAGCGGTCCATGTTTAAAGTGCTAACAAATAAGGAGCGGTTAAAAACATGGCAATGTGCAATAAAAAACATATTATTGACACCTTCACATTTTGTATGATTATTATATAAGCACATCGTGTTGGTGAAATATATATTATTTTAAATAAACAATCAACCCATCCCCGCCAAGACAATAAAAAAATCGGTTATTAATAAATTAGCCAGAATATATATTCCAATATTGGTTGGTTAGTTTGTTGTGTTACTAGAAATTTTGGTTTTCATATTAGCCAAATTGAATTGGATAGTTTACAAATTATCCAGCTATTCCTAAATAATTTCAAGTAAATTAGCCAAGACCCTTGGTTGGTTTACAAACTAGCCGCTAATTTAGTTAAAAATACGTTTTCAATTAAAATAGCTGACAGTTTGGCTAGTTTATAAACTACCCAGCTATAGCTATACTTAATAAACTATCCATGTTTACACATTAGCCGTAACATATATATGATATACGTATGTATTTTATACATTAACATGTTCGGTCTGGGCATGTGACGGCCGAGGACTTTGTGCATAGAGTATAGACTTTGTTGTCCTATTTTGTTAACGTAAATTATCCGAAACAAACTCACAAATATTAAATTTTTGAAAATGTAAACAAAACATAGAAAAAGAATTTAAAAAGTTAGGTTATGGTTATGCAGTAGTTCCACATTTAACTAAGTAGTAGTTTAATTAACTTTACCCCTTCGATCTTAGCGCCACCTAGCGGCTTGGCACGTTAAGGAAGCCACCACGAAGCTTAAAGTTGCAAGACCTGTATATAAGACCGTGGACAGTACAAATGCTTTGGTGGGAACCAGTGTATAACGAGGCTATTATAAAATCCCTGTCTCAATCAAATTTTAATTTAATTACTTTTTTTAAATTTCTATAGAAATTTAAAAAAGTAATTGAAATTTATACTTCCGTTGAATAATAAATAAATTATAATAATCTATAATTTTCTTTTTTTTATTTATTTCCAAAACAACAATCTTATTTTTTAAAATTTATTTAGGAAATAAAAACTTAATTGAATTAATATTTTATTGAGGCAGGGATTTTATAATAGCCTTGTTCCTTCCGAGCATTTGTATCCTTTTTCTATGATTTGTACTGTCGAATGGACGGCAGGAACATGTGCAATACCAAAATCGTATAAAAATTGTATACCTACAAGACATTTTATTTTTTGTTTTTCTTTATTTTGCTGTAAAAGCTAAAATTATTATTCTAAAAACTATTGGGAAGGTTTAAAATAGAACAAATTATTATTTGGTCAAATTTATTTGTACATTCTTATTATTATGAACAACATACAATATACAAAAGTTAACATTGTTTCAGTCACACCTTATTTTACAAAATGGATGTATGAAATATTGTATCAAATTATTCTAAATACCCTAAGTATGTAATAAATAGTGCAATATTACAAGCCCTTTGGCAAATTCATGGTCTAATTTACATATCTAATTTACAAAACACAATTCACCTATAAAAAATTAAATTAACCTATTTCCATGCTTGTTTTAGCATTTTTTGTGACGCAAAATATTTGGTGATAAAAGAAACAATAACTAACCCTACTAATACTAAAATAATAAGAATGTGATCGAAATCTTCTTTTAACAAATCAAAAGTCTTTGAAGGAGCTACGCGAGTGTAGAACAAGTCTAAACCATAAACTAAAACGTGACTAGTACTTTCAAGTCTTGCAGGAGCAACAGCAATACCTTGAATCCTTTCCAAGGTCTGGTTATAATTGATGTAAGCCTCATTGGGTAAGGGAACTTCTGGCATGTAAGGAATGCAGCTCTCCTCTGGACCACATGCTACATTTGCGAACCTAGGCTGTAGCAGCAACCAGGGTATCTCAACAACTCCATTATTTAATGCGAAAAAGAGAAATTTATTAGTGATCCCCCTTTCAGTTAAACTAACGGCCAGCGTTAGCGGAAATGCGGGTAAAATGTACGAGGAAGTTTCCACGTGCGGTAATTGGCTTATTGCTAATGAGCTAAATACGGTGCTATTACTCTGCGTTGAACCCTCGTATAATTCCGCTGCCACCACTTCGGTTCTTCTAAACCTCTCGCTGAAAAATGAGTACACCAACCAATTTTCCGAGTGCACCAAATGAATGGGGCCTTTGGCTCTTTTATGCGAGGTGGAGTAGGCGACAAATCCAGTGACGCCGTCGATTAAATAAATGCTGAGGACGTTTTTGTGGATGGGATCATCCGCAATTGTAGCTACTGCCAGTAAATTGGGGTTTACATATTTGTAATATACTGAACGATCGGGTAAAACTCGCCCCTGCGAGTGCACTCTTTCAATTGGAGACTTCGCACTTAATGCTACCAATTTGGATGGTCCTAAGTTTACTGTCCAACTTAATGTTGTTTTAATATTCTCGCCCTCTCTGTATAAATTATGTCCATTTAAAGTATTTTTATTGACATCAACAGTATACAAATAAGTATGTGAAGCATGAGTTGCTATAGCGGTGTTTGCACTTTCTGGGTAAATAAACGCATCTCCTTTGTCAGAGTATACAACCAAAGGCTTAACATGATTTTCATCATCATTTGGAAGTAATAATGCCTGGCGAATTTTGTAATTTAGTCTGATAATAGATTTTTCAGAGTATCCTGTTATTGGGTCAAATTGGATAATAATCCCATTTCCAGTAATAGAGTCTTCTGCTAAAAGGGTACACTGGGCAGGTAGTGGTGCATATCTAGCAGTTCTCTGGACAAATAAAAGCATTTTTTCAGAATCCAACATTTTAAATGGCTTTACATTAGGTAGTCTATAAGTCCAGGCCAAAGATCCTGTAAGGGTATCTATACCAAACAATTTACCAGATTTAGTTGCCACCACAATAATCTTATGCAAGCCAAAATCATCCCTTACCAAACCAGTGTTAGCCAAGAATTGGCTGCCGAAAACAAGATTTGATAGTTGCCTACATTGTGTAGTAATCCTATGCAAAAACATACTAATTACATTTCCGCCTTTAAACTCATTCTCAATAGAGGCATCCAACTCAGATACAGGTAATTCCAAAAACTCTGTGGCAACAATTTTACTTAAAGCTTCCTCTCTGGTCCACATAACTTTGGCTTCTGGAAATCTGACCAATAGCAGGGCATTATCAGCACTGGATAGAAGCAAATTGCAGACGTGATCTATGCATTGAGCAGCAGCCAACTCTGGTTTTCCCAGTCCATGCGGATACTCAAATTCTCTGGTTAATTCTTCTCCATTTGTTACGATTGTTGACTTAATTAGAAGGTTAGAGGGATTTTTTGTGCCTTCCAGTTGGAAAATAAGTGGTGTACCTGAGTCAATAACTCCAATAGCATTTGGCATTACTGGAGTGATGTGTTTCTGGTGATTGTCACCATTAAAGAATACAATTTCCGAATTAACTGAGCTAGTGGTTATTATTATTGCTGGAGTGACACTTTTATATGTACTTATCTTGGCATTTTCACTGCTTTGTAAAGGTATAGTTGATACCTTTGAATTATCTTTAAGTTGTACATAATTTACTACATTATGTACTAAACAAGCATAATATGTTTGGACAAGAATACACTGGTTATTTGTGGCAACAAAAGGTATTTGTAAACTACTTTTCACTAAACCAGTTTGAACATCAAAAACTCTTACATTTAACATAGAGCCATCATGTGCAACAACATACAAATTATTATCTTTAACATCAAATTTATATAGTACTACTTTATCAACACTGATTATCCATTCAGTGATGAGATTTCCTGTTCCAACATCCCATGATCTAACAGTCCACAAATTTTCATTACCACTAACCGTAATTATATCTTTTTCAATCTTCAGAAGCTCAATGTTCTGCTCACTGGGATCCTCCATTACTTGACGCCACAAAACATTTCCAGTCTTTGAACTTAAAGCCGCAACTACATTTTCCTCAGTTCCAACTACCAATTTTCTCGCATCAAACTCCGCAAATTTCACTTTTCCCACATAAGACTTCTTCCAATCGAATTTTCCTACTTGATCTTCATAAAGAGCGTGTGATAAACACGATAATAAAGTTAAATTTATTGTTATAATACATATTGATCGAATATTAGCCATTTCTGCAACATCAGACTAACCTATATTAATTCTAACCTCAAATTAAAACGTCAAAAAATGACAGACATTTAATCAATATATCAGTTTTTATTCTTTTATGCAATTAATATACTGTTAATTACACAAAACATAAATAAATTATACATTAGAACATGGTATAATTATAATGAGATCATAATATGTTTTGTTTTAATATTTAAATATTTTTTTAAAGTATGGATCACAGAAGTATGGATTTTTATCGCTGTTGAAAAAAATAATTCTTTCCATATACCTATATAGGTATATGATTCTTTCCTCTCCAAAGTTTCATTAAATCCACATATTTAGATATATATTTAAATGAATACGTGGGCGTAATACATATAACTTTGCAACAAAAATACTTTGCATCACAGTCACACGGTGTGACTGTCCTAAACCAAAACTGTTTTGGTGACCGTACTGTTAAAAAGAAATTAGACAACGTTGTATATATATGCATGACTGTGTGACTGGTTTGCAAAGTCTTTTTTACGGAAATTAATTTTGTCGAAAAGTTATGCTCTGTTTTGGTAAAAACATAAAACGTTTAATTAATTTAAATAAAGATCATGAACAAGGTATTTTTTTTAATTGAAAAATAAGATCTGGTCAGAGACACTCTGATCTGGCAACACAGGTTGACAGCTTGTTTTGTAAAATAATAATTTGTGGTTATATTTACCAAGTGATTTTTGTCTCAAACAAAAATCTAATAATTATTATGGCTGGTGGATTTACAGAACCTGTGTTTGTTAAAAAATTAACAGATTTAAATAGTTCTTCACAAAGTATTCAGACTTTATCATTATGGCTTATACACCACCGAAAACATTACAGCTCTGTTGTAAAAATTTGGACCAGAGAATTAATAAAGGGTAAAATCTTTACTTTAAATTTGTATATTAGTTTACCGATTTCAATATATAACAGATATATTGTGATGTTTTAGCAAAAGATAGTAAAAAACTAACCTTTATGTATCTGGCCAATGATGTGATACAAAACAGCAGAAAAAAGGGACCAGAATATGGACAAGAGTTCGGTTTATCACTAAAAAAAGCCTTTGAACACATGTCCAAATGTGATGAAAAAACTAAAAACAGTTTGGATAGAATTTTGGGCATATGGCAAGAGAGAGGTATCTATGATCCAGTTCAAATATGTGAATTTAAAAGAGCCTTAGGTACGTTGCTTATTATTATTTAAATGTCTTTTTTTAATATAAAGTTTACCTAGTGTTAGTAGATGTTAAAGATGAACCTTTGCCAAAGAAAGCAAAACTTGATATTGAGCCAAGTAAAAAGAAAAAACAGTCATCTAAGGAAAGACGAAAAAATGACAATGAAGTTGTTGTAGAGGTATGTTTGATAACTTAATTTTAAAGTCATTAATAATTAATTGAATTTATAAAGGTTGATGGAAGAAAGGAGACCCATGTTCATTTAAGTCCACACACACCTGCTAGTGACCCACCAGAACCAGAAGAACTGATTAAAGCAATTCAAGACTTAGAAATTAACATAGCTTCTTCAGATGAAAATGTTCGAGAGAGAATAGCGCAATTACCTAGGGAAGTTTCTGAAGTATCGTTAATTTCAAAAATAGAAGGTTATAATAAAGATTATTTAATTTAAATTAGCGATTTATTTATTAACTTTTAGATAAGGAGGCAGCTCAAAAACTATCCTTACAAGTAAGTGAGGCAGTGTTCCTATTAAGCCAGTATAATACTAGGCTAACAGCTGAAATGGATCATAGAAAAAAGGTGGCAGCAATGATGAAAGATTTCTTGCATGCTCAAGAAGAATTGCTGACGCAGGCTGAACAAAACCTAGAGGTAAGACAATTTCTATATTTTATCCTTTTTTGGTTTTAAAACAACCCTAACAAAATGTCTTACCCAGCACAAATACTTATTATCCAAAAGTAAGCAAAATTTAATGAGAAACGATCTAGGAATTCTATTTCTAGCAATGAACAGGTGCCCAAAAGATTTTTATTTTGACATGAGCCTGTTTTTTATGTAAACTTTTAATTTGGACCCAAAACCATAGAAAATAGGTTTAACTCACTATAAAAAATTAAACTTGCTAATGAAAGAGTGCTTAATTTTGCTGATCTACATGCTGCTATTCTTAACCCTTTTTCAAGGTGAATACAAATAAAAAAATTAAAAATAAGCACAATTCCAAAATAAATATCAGGGACTAGGATTATTTCATTGAGTTTAAATAAGTTATAAGTGATAAGTTAAACTATGGGGTTTTGAAATCTTATGATTTAATACATGATTGAATCCTGATTAAATCATGATTAACTCATAAATGAAATAATTATTAATTCCACGTGAATTCGACACGAAAAAAAACCTTGCCATTTAGAAATTCCTTGGCAATTTTTCCATGGGTACCCTGACTCAAAATGAAAAAATCAATTTTAATTTTAGCACGGTTTATCAATTGTTTTTGGAGATATGATTTTTTAAATTTTCATGATTGTAACGATTTTGCCAATATATCATTGATCATAACTTTGGATCCAATTGAGCGATTCTGACGAACGACTAATCCTTTTTCTTGTCTGGAAACAAGCTATTTGAAATAAATATTTTTGTTGCTGTGGCATATCGGCACACTAGGATTTTTTTCTTCGGAAACTAAAAATACATTTTCTGCACTGTTTGTATTTTTTTTGTTTTTAATCTTTAAGCGACTACAAGTTTTTTTTATTTATATTAGATCGTGGCTATCGAAAAATTAATATTTTTTTCGGAATTTTTAATTTTAATAATTTTGATTTTTTTTATTTAATCTTTTTATATTTAGCCCTTTTTTAACTATGAAAATTGTATTAAAAAAATTATTATTATTAATAATTATTTTAAGATTGAAAATCAATGCATCAATCATTTTACTATATGTATATTCATAGGCACTACTCTTTAATTTTGTTTAAACAATTTTAATAGTTTAAAGGGCTAAAAAATCATTTTTGATATTATAAATTCCGAAAAAAATATTAATTTTTCGATAGCCACGATCTAATATAGATAAAAAAACTTGTATTCGCTTAAAGATTAAAAACAAAAAAAAATACAAACAGTGTAGAAAATGGTAAAAATCGAAGAAAAAAATCATAGTGTGTCGATATCAAAATTTTTTATTTCAAATAGCTTGTTTCAACACAAGAAAAATGATTGGTCGTTCGTCGAAACCAAAAGTTATGATCGATGACATATTGGCAAAATCGTTATAATCATGAAAATTTAAAAAATCATATCTCCAAAAACAATTGACAAACCGTGCTAAAATCAATTTTTATTTTAAGTCAGGGAACCCATGGAAAAATTGCCCATATGTATTTAATGTATAAAAATAATATCACATGCATCTTACCAATAAATGTTACATAAATATTTAAACATAATATGCAAGTAATATTGCATAAACAATACATAACTTACGTAACGTAAACCGTAGTTTATTAGTTTTTTTATAAAATAACGCCGTCAATTTGTAAATGCTACAACGGCTTCTGTGTTGTTTATGTTTTCCGGTCAGGCGGGAGGAAGGGAGTCAATCTATCTATAAATCAGATTTTCATAAAAAAAATTGTGAGTTGGTCCAAGACAAGGGGATTAAATTATGTTAATTATCCATAATGGTACGGATAAACATTTGCATCTTTTTTAAAGAAAAATTATGTTACAATTGTGTTAACACTGCAGTATTAAATGAGTTAGCTAAATGGGCGTCGTTTCAAATCGCCTACTCGGTAAATATCCAAATATCATTTAATACTTTTATAAAATATTAATTGAATATTAATTTTTTTGTAATATTTTATTAATTTAGTAAGTATAAAACAGGTATATATATTTTATAAAAATATTTATTAAATATCTATTCTAGATAATAATATTATTTGAAATCAATAATTTTTAATACTTTTTAATATTATATAAATATTTTAATTAGCTATAAAAATATAGTAGTAGTAGTAGTACGGTTGGGTAGGCTCGAAGCCTGACAATTAGACTCTATGGTCCTTTTTATCTGCCCCTCCTAAACCAACCAAACTACTCCTCATCCTCCTCTTCGCCCATACCAGCCCTTTCGAATCTTCCAGACCTTCTTATAAAGGTCAGGATATCCTGACAGGCAAGAGAGGCCAACTCTTCCCTTTGGAGTGTCATCACTCCAAAGATTTTATACCTTAGTCTGCCGAGGGCCTCACATTGTCCCAGGAAGTGAAAGGAGGTTTCATCCTCCCTTCCGCACTGGGTACAGGAGGGGCTGGTTTCAGCCCCTATTCTCGTGAGGTGTTTCCTTAGGCCATGACCCGTGAGTATGTTCACAAGTGGGCCCAAGGAGGTTCGGCTCCTACCTAGAAGCCAGATGGATTTGGGTTTGCTTAGGGTGACCAGGAAATCCCTGGTCTGCCTACAGCCACCGCTTCTTCTCCAGCTTTCGTTCGCCCTTTTATCAGCCAATTATTTAGGGCTGATTTGACCTGCTTTCTCGTAATTCCAAAAATTGGTTCGGGTCCTACACAGGGGGTTTCAGATCCCAATCTGGCCAACTCATCAGCCCGTTCGTTACCTTCCACCCCACTATGACCTGGTACCCATATGAGATGCACTCTTTTTGTACTTGCTAGCTTTTCCAGCGCTTCCTCACACTCTTGAACTAACTTCGATGTGGTTCTCGCTGCCCAAAGCGCTTTCAGAGCTGCTTGGCTATCTGAGCAGATGTATATATCTGTCTCACTCCCTGTTCTTATATCCTCACAGTTTGCAACCTCAAGTATGGCAAACACTTCCGCTTGAAAGACAGTGGTATATCCTCCGAGCGGGTAGCTCCTTTGGATATCCCTGTCTTCCACGTAGAAACCTGCCCCTGAAGACAGTGTACTCGCCATACGAGAGCCATCAGTGTAGCACACTAGTGCATTTTGTGCAAAGTGTACATCCTTTTTCTCCCACTGCTCTCTTGTTGGTATCGTGAGGGAAAACTTATTTTTTAAACTTAAGCGGTCTTTTGCTGGCATCGTTCTAATACTGCTAATTGGGACCTCCCTCTCAGCCATATCCGCGATGCCCTCATGACCATAAGTTATTCCTTTTCCTAACCAATTATTGGCATCCCTCATCCTTAAATGGCTCGCCATTGCTTCACTCTTTATCCAGAGGGAAAGACTGGGCAAGCTCAGCAAGGCCTCTAATGCCGTCGTTGGAGTAGTCCTCATTGCGCCTGTGATACCGAGACATGCCAGTCTCTGTATCTTGCTCAGTTTTTGAGCGATAGTGGTTTTGCTCACACACTCACACCATAATGTATCCGCGGTCTGATGACAGCAGTATAAATCCAGTGAAGGACTTTGGGATTTACTCCCCAGCGTTTTCCCACCACCCGGCGCAGCTGCCAGAAAGTTGCAATCGATTTGTCAACAACTTTGTCGACGTGTGATTTACAACTTAACTTCCTATCTAGGGTAACACCTAGGTACTTGACCTCTTCAGTAATCTCAAGAGGTCTTCCATACATGGCTGGTGCCCTGAAGTCCTGTATCTTCCTTCGTTTGGTAAAAAGAATCATGTCAGTTTTTGTTGGGTTAACCGACAGACCGTTTTCTTTGCACCAATTTTCTATTATTCTGCATGCTGTCTGCATTCTGTCGCAGACTACACCTAGAATGCCTCCTTTGATTAGGACTGTACCATCATCTGCATATGCTTGTGCATACAGCCCTTCAGCCGTCAGTCTCTCCAGAAGTCCATCCATTATTAAACACCATAGGTGGGGTGATAGGCAGCCGCCTTGTGGGCAGCCGCCCCTCACACCGATGTCCAAATGGCAGTCTCCCAGAGATGCACTGACCTGCCTCTCCTCCAGTGAGGATTTAACCCAACTAACCAGGACTGGGGGAGTGCCTCTGGCTTGTAGCGCTTTACAGATTGTAGATGTCCTCGCCTTATCAAAAGCCACCTCTACATCAAAGAAAACAGCTAGTGCCATTTCCTTGTAGTGCAGTGCCTTTTCGACTCTATGCACTATAGAATGAAGAGCCGTTTCGGTCGACCTTCCATTTCTATAGGCATGTTGATTCTTATGGAATGGGTACCTTTTCAGCACCCCTTCTTGCAGGTACCGGTCCACAATCCTTTCTAATGTTTTAAAAAGAAAGGATGTTAGGCTTATTGGCCTGAAGGACTTTGCAGCCGAGTAGTCTTTTTTCCCTGCTTTGGGTATGAAGACCACTTTAGCTGCCCTCCAGGCTCTTGGGACATATCCCAGTGCCAGACTGGCTCGGAATATTCGTTCTATTCTTGGGAGAAGAATCTCCAAGCTTCTCTGTAGCAATGCTGGGAATATTCCATCCGGTCCTGCTGCCTTGTATGGATCGAACGCATTTACTGCCCATTCCACCGATCCCTCCTTCACAACGTCTTTGGCAAGGACTAAGTCCCAGGTAAGGATCTCTGGCCCCTCCGTTGTTGACGTGTGGGAAGGAGTTTCGCCGGGGAAGTGCGTTTCCAGGAGATGTCTTAGGGACTCTTCACTGGTGTTCGTCCACGATCCATCCAACCTTCTTAGGATTCCTACATTCCTTTTTGAGTCACAGCTAAGGATCTTCATCAGCCTGGTTGACTCCTGAAGTGACTCTACAGTTCCACAGTATGTCTTCCAGCTGATATCCTTGCTGCGCCTTAACTCTTTTTTGTAAGACTTTCTAGCCTCCCTGTACGTATCCCACGTGGATTGCAGCCCATCCTTGATAGCCCGGTTGAATGCGCGCCTTGCCTTCTTTCGAAGGTCTTTAAGCACGTCACTCCAC